TGACGATGATTTTTTTGGTTTCCTTAATGGGCCTGGTGGACTGACCAAGAAAAAACAGCTCAGAAAAAATATCTCCACACAAAGGGAGGAATGGTTACAAGCTTGTAAACATGTTACAGAAGCTGTCTAAGAAACAAAGACTGACCAGTGGAAGGAGGTAGTTAATGGCGTGATAAATGATCTGGACGAAAGGAAAACTTGGAGTTTCATCAAGTATCTAAATGGATCACCAGAAACCAATTCTCCCAACGAAGTACTGAAACACAACGGAAAAGGATAACATCAGCAAAGAAGAAAGCTGAGCTTTTAGCTAAGCATTATGCAAAAATCAGTAAGCTTCAATTTCCCCTTGAGGAGGGCAGAAAAAACAAACTCCGATTAAAGCGCCTACTGTATGACGATGTGAACAGCGAAGATGAACAATAATCGTACCCACACTTTATACAAAGGAGCTGAAGCGTGTCATAACACAAATGAAGAGAAGAATTACTCCCGGACCTGATAATATACCACCATCTTTCCCAAAAGAGCTTGGCCCACTCGCATTGAAAGAGTTGCTCTGCATATTATGTAATATGTCGCTTAACCAAGTAGCGTGCCCACAAGGCTGGCGTATAGCACTTATCATTCCTCTCTTGAAAGCTGGCAAGTCACCAAGTGACAGGACATCCCCTCGACCCATTAGTTTGACATCCTATGTCATGAAAGTTGTAGAAAGAATGCGTGCTGAAAGAATTTACCGCCTGTCAGAGAAGAGTGAGTGGATTGCAGATATTCAGGCAGGCTTTCGCCAAGGTCAGAGCTGCACCGACCAGATGATCAGAATCTGTCAGGGAATTGAGGATGGTTTCAACAAAAGCCAACTTTCCATCGATCAGCCCTAGTCCTGCTGGACAACTCCAAGGCATATGATACGGTTTGGCGTGAAATACTATTACTGTCAATGGCTGACAAGGGAGTGCCGTTGAGTGCAATCAGATGGATCCATGGTTTCTTGAGAAACAGACAAGCCCGTGTTCGCCTGAAGAATGGAAAAACAAGCAAGAGACAGAATTTCAAGCAAGGGCTTTCCCAAGGAGCTGTACTATCACCGTTACAGTTTATATTTTTCATAAACAGCCTTGCAGAATCTTCCCAAACCCTGAATCACAACAACTAACCTCTACAAAGCTGATCTACGCCATGTTCGCCGATGACTGCACAATATTGACCAGTCACGCAAAGAGAGAAAAGGAAAATGAAGCGATGCAGCTGATTGGGGACATAGTTGCGAAATGGAGCAATGAAAGGAAACTTACCTTGAATACAATCAAGAGTGATGTGTGCTTCTTCTCAACATGGAAGAAGGAGGCAATGTGGCAACCAGTAGTTCAGATCGAAGGAAAAAGATACCATTCAACCCCGCTCCGCGCCTTCTGAGCGTCTATCTGGATAGACAGCTAACCTTTAACAATCACATTGAGGAAGTGTCCAAAAGTGCAATTTCTAAACTGAAGATGATCGGTGCTGTCAGTAACTCAAAATTGGGCTGGGGTAAGGAATGGCTCAAGAAGGTATATCGGATGATGATGATGATGATGATGATGATGATGATGATGATGATGATGATGATGATGATGATGATGATGATGATAATGATGATGATGCAGATGAAATGAAGACGAGGAAGATGACAACGGAGACGACGAAGATGACAACGATGACTATGCTGAAAATGATACATGAATGTGCTACATATACATTGAAGTTATACTGTATCTCATTGTTTTTAACATACCACCAAATAAAGGCCCCTTTCTCTTCGCCAGCTCGTCCTCATAGAACTGGTAACGCGTGTGCAACTCTTTAATTCCCTCTTCCAGCTGGTCAGCCTTTCTCAGTTTGCCGTAGAAGAGAGCGGTAATCTGGAGAAGAAAAAAATACTGTTTTGAAATTACTTTTCCATACAATCTAGATCGTATGCGAGGCGAAATGGTTTTACCCTGTACGGACAATAGACAAAAATAAAGAGCAAACCCAAACGTGAGTGTTTGGCGGGTGCTCTAGTGTG